ATGCATGCGCAGTACAACCAGTGAATCAGCATTTCATAGTCCGAAATCAACACTACACCAGCCCAGCTGCGTTCTGCGTGACAACACGCAGTACGCGCGACGCGCATGCCAATGTCCTTTTAAGATAACGAGTTGTGGAGGGGCATTCAATATTATAGTCAGAGGGGTGTTTCGTAAACATGAAGTAAAATTAATTGAACAAATATGGTTGGCAACGTCTAGTTTTTGCCTTTTTTTATTTTTGGACCGGGTAATTATCACCCATCCAGACTCCCACCGGTCTTAAACAGATTGTTATAATACCTCCCGAACGCACATGTATTCCCTTAATAAACATAAGCCGAGGTTAAACGTATGCTCTTTGTACTTCATTCAGTGCAGGCACATCAATATCAATAGTTTATAATCAATATAATATAGGTTTTCCCAGCTATTTTAACACTTGTATTACACAAATTCACTATATCGATACTTTAATTTCGTCCCCGAACATCGCCAAGCTCAATACTCAATTTGAATTCAAAAAGCCACCACTAGATTTCATTTTAGGTTCAGTATAAACAAACTGTTAGCATTCTGATTCGTCCAAAATCTTTGAAATTCGTCTTGTGAAGATATCGGCGTTGAATCGAAAAAGCAATTTGTTTTTGTCATTCGTTTGAATGTTCTTGTCGTTACATTTCGTCTCTGGTGACTTACAACGTTACTATTAAAAATGTGCCCAATCTTTGGACTTGTTTGCACATTAATTAAATTTTAATTGTTAACAAATATTTTTTTTAATAAATGAAAGTATAGCTGTAAGTTTTGAGTTTTCTTTGACAATTAACATTAAAATCAGAAATTGAACTTTCACAATATGCTCTTTGCTTAGCATATGGAAATTAAGCATTTAAGATCAAACACCTTCGTAATGTTGCTCTTTGATATAATATGTATATCAATAAAACAACAGAAATAAGGTATGTCTATCAAAGAACAACATTAAGAAGGTCTTTGAACTTAATGCTTAGTGTCCATGTCATAAGTGTATATTGTGAAATGTCAATCCCTGACTCTCATGTTAATTGTGTAACACAGAAATAAAAAATCATATCCTACAGCTAACTACGTTTATTTATACATATAAGGAAATATATGTTGAATTATCATTGTTTTAATACGCATAATTCTTCAAATTGGTCTAAATATTGGGCACATTTTCTAATCGTATACGATTTAAGTCACCAGGGACGAAATGTAATGACAACAACATGAAAACGAATGACAAAAAACGAATTTGCTTTGTCAATTTAACGCCAATGGCTTCACGGGACGAATAGGAACGCTAACAATTTGAATTATACCGAGCCTTAAATGAAATCTAGTGGTGGCTTTCTTAAATTCAAATTGAGAAGTGAGCTTGGCGATGATCGGGGACGAAATTAAAGTATCGATATAGGGAATGTGTGTGATACAAGTGTTAAAATAACTGGGAAAACCTATATTGTTGTAATTCCCTTTAAAGTTTGTTCTCTAGCCCAGGTCTGCTGAATGAATAGGGCAGGAATTAATTCCAAACAAAGTTGAATAGAGCTAGGAGAGCAAATCGCATGGGTATCATGCGCCACCATCTTGGTGCCACCTTTCCAGAAGTCAGAGATAAGATGGAGGATTGAGTTCTGTGTAAAAAAAGAGAAAAAAGAGGAGGATTCGTTACCCAGCTGTCATGTAGTAACGTTATTTCCATTGGGCAAAGACAAAAGAGAACACTACTATGGCCACAACTACCAGAACTCTTATCTGCCATGTCTTAAAGGTAAACACATTACTCAGGCTGGCCAGCGCCCTTGTTGATATATATAGCGACAGACTTTCCACTGTATGGCTCAACTCCATCCAAGTCAATGGCGTGGGGCATACTGCTCCCTAGCCTTTAGTCAAGTCCCACGCGCTTACCCGGACACGTGACGCACTCCGGATGCTGACACGCAAAAAGACTAGCACGAGCGGCAGAGCCGCAAGGGCCTTTACCATCTCGTGCAGAACGCTTATGTTTTTCTTGACATTTGTCTACCGATTTGGTAGACATGCATAATGCATTACCCGTTGTGAATTGATCAATGAAAATGCAGAATTACTAACGTAAATCAGCCGTCGTCTGGCGCCAGACAGCGCGCGCGCCGTGGCGCGCTTGCTGTTGCTGGTAACCGCAAACCACTGTTAGATGATTGGTTTATATTGCTTGAGGTATATTACGTGAATAAATGAATAAGTGATTAGTTCCACGAGATAGTAAAGGCCCTCGCGGCTCCGCCGCTCGTGCTAGTCTCTTTACATGCCAGCATCCGGGATGCGTTACGTGTCCCGATGGTCCGGGTATAGGCGCGTAGGACTTGACTAAAGGCTAACTGCTCCCCCAGTGCTACTCACTCTGTGACAGGTGGTCTTTCCATACTACACACACACACACAAGCAAGTCATTGTTCTAGCTAGCCTAATTTGTATTCGCACTCTACAACATGGCAAGGCCATGCTTCATACATTTAGTGCTTGCTATGGAAGTTTCCTTGGCTAAATGGTGAAACTTACATTCAATGTTAAAATCTACGAACACAGTTTACTAAAACATACATGGTCCAGTTTCTTAACTGAATAGAATCCAAGATATCAACTCCACAAACTTTCACCAAACGTTCCTCAAATCCAGAAAACTTAGTGAAACTTTCCATTTATAAATGAAGTGAATGAATAAAGTTCAGTTGCTAAAAACTAATCAAACTTGTATCATCTGAAATCTCATCCAAAGTTACATAAAAGTGAATATACAAACAATAATGGAAATACCTAAGCATCATAAAAACAAAGTTCAATTTTGTCAATCTCTAGAGAACTTGGCAAAAGAGTAAAGTTGACAAATTCAAAGGAACAATTTACCTTCAACCCATTGATCAACTCAAGTCATTGACTGTGTACTCAAAGTAAATGAAAATGTGAACAACAGAAATAAAGGAACCTCGATGTGTATAAAAAGAAAGAAACATTTGTACATACCTATTGGGCAAAGACAAAAGAGAACACTGTTGTGAATACGTCTGGTCACTTTGCCAAAATATGTGAAAGTGACTAGGCACACTCACATGCACTCTGTGTTGTCTTTGGCCAATTCCAATTTTGTATGGGGGTGTTACTTTTTACAAAAACTTCACTCTGGAGGGGTTGTACTACAGAGGGGTTCTACAGATTGAGTTCTGTGTATGAAAAGAGAAAATAGAAGAGGATTCCTATTTGAATGTCGATGGAAATCCAAGGAACTATCACCATGATAAAATATCATGTTTTATATTTACTGAATAAGTTGTATGGGTTGACCTTCAAGGAACAGGACCCCTTTCCTCGTAATGAGACACATCTAAGGAATGGCCAGTTTAGCCACAAGGGCGGCGTAAGTGGATGCTGGGCTGCACCACGGAGATTTAGCCCACGGACTTATAAGGCCAAAAAAAAAAGTCTCCGGTTTCTGGTATGCGCGCGCGTCGCCGTAGCCATGCGCGTCGGCAAAATGAAAAAGTTTTTTTTCAATGAAAGATAATGTCTCAAAACCGCCAAACTCACTGGTTTGACTGGAATCCTGCTGCTGCACAATTTTAACGTGTTTTTAGATGGGGTTAGGATCGAGAATAAGCTTTATGTGGCCTCTCTGGACTCCCATACATTTGCACTAAATTTAGTCGGGCACCATTTGCAGTCATCAGCCGACATTTGAAGCAAAAAAGTCAGGTAAAAAAAAAAAAAGCCGCGTCACCGCACCACTTTTTGGACAAGCTCCATACCAGAAACCGGAGACTTATTTTTTTTGGCCTAAGGAAATCTGATTGTTCTATTAATTTGCCTAGCCCTGCCCCCAGATACAAGTTGAACACCTTCAATTCTGTATTATTAATATTCAATAGTTAGTGAACGATTCCTAATAAGGCAAGAAACCTGTAAGATAGCTGTAAGATGAATGTTCATTTACTGTATAAAAACCCAGTAGAATCAAGAAATCAGACAGAGAGCGTCACAACCAACCGAATAAACCACATCAGCCACTTCTAGTCTCCTACTGTCTCACTTTGTCTATATAACCTCACTGGTTATAGAACACAATCTGTTTCTCAGCCATTTGCTGAGAACAGTCAACAAAAGTTTTTCTTGTGCATAAAATGTTAATGTTGTTATTGTTAAGTGTGCGTTTATGAGAAGACCATGCAAAATCCTGAAAAATCGACAAGGTGGGGGGTCAGCGAATTAAGTTCAAATCTTGGCCATTTGATCCCCACCTGAGACGATACCACTCGGTGGAGTAGCTCGATAAATAATCACACGGTGGCCGAGTACGGGGCACCAACAGTTTTGAGCAAAAAGGGTGACTTCCGGGGAGTAAATTTGTGTTGTTTCTGGTGTAAAGTTATAGCCTCGTTTATACCCTTAAACTAAATCGTTTACTGTCGACCTACATATCAAAAGAAAGGGTTTAATCTCCTCTAAACGATGGAATATAAATTTTTTATATGCCATTATTCACTGCGGAGATATAGGCGTAAGAAAAACACGTATCAGCTCTATTACGAAATGAAGTCCTTTACGCGGTAAACCATAACTTAATTAATGCAGGGCTGAGAGTCAACAAACTTGGAGGAAATATAGTTCAGATATCCGACTACAATAATAAAAAATAAAAAAACTGTCAGCTCTTCTCGTTTTTGTTTGCTCACGGTCAACAAAGTTGAAAAATTCCTAATTTTCAAGACCAAACCTACATATCCCCCTAGACAGTTCCGAGTGCAATTGGTTGCCCTTAATTGACATTTTGCAGGAATTGTTGTAAGAGCGTAACAAAATCTACATTTTGCAGACTTCACCTATTGGGTGGGTGGGTGAGTGGGCTACCTTTGGTGGTGCGCACTGATCTGGTAGGAGGGGAATGTCCTGTTGCCGCCCACCCAGTTAGCGCGCGGTATCGAAAGAGGGCGCCGTCGCATTACATTTCCGTCAAAATGGCAGCCATGGACATGCCGTCTGTGAGGCTGCAATGTGATTTTAGTAATTTTGAGTATAGCAAAGCCATCGAATGTGGTGTAAATCCCTCTTATCTGCGCGAACTAAATACAGTGCAACTTAATCGATGCACAAAAGACATACGGAGCCATTTGCAGAAGTGGAAAGTCGCTGCATATGATGTGAATGTCGAGTGGAAACTGATCCTCCTGCGATGTGGTTTGTTCGACGTCGATGCATACACTGATAAGACAATACGTCCAGCGCATAGATACAAGTTAGGGTTGAGTTGGACATCATCAAGGAAATGGTGTCATCCACTCCATAAAGGGAAAGGCAAACCATTCCGTGGTGTGAATAAAGTAACTAGCCGTGAGATCATAGATGTTTGATCGATGGGGTACCCTGATCACTGTTGGAACAGGTAAGAAGACAGAAATCAAACAAAATACATTTTTGAAAATTGAAATAATTAATCATGGTCATGGTCCATTTCTGATCAACTGACTTTGTTCCTGGGTAGGTTATATCAATTAAATCCCTTATCATGCAGTTGACTTTGGACCAGTGAAATTTATTATTGTGTGAAAAATTAATACTGGTTGTCACAGCTCTGGACCACACACATGGTTTTCGGCAATGGACACACATGGTGGATATTTAGCCAGAGCTGGATTTTGAATTTATTTTGTTTTAGATAAAGAAAGTTGGAACTGCACTGAACATGCGCAGTTTGGGGAATAAAACATATATATTTTTTTTGCATTTACATTGTTTTTTTTACTTTTATTCACGAGATGTGACTCATCAGACCATTTACAACTTAAAGAACAATTTCAGATTTGTTTCCCCTTTTATACAAATCTTCCAGAGCCAGCCACATCAGAAAAAGAAAAAGTAATAAGTGCAATTAAATACAGGCAATATAAAATAATAAAAGAAGATTTCTTATTTTTTATTTATTTATTATAATTTTTTTTTTGGGGGGGAATTTATGACATGGCTTTTGTTCAAGGCATCTTTTGCTCAATATTGTTGGCTACATACGCCCCGCTTTATATCTTTAACTGTAAAAAAATATTAAGCCTGCTGTGGCCTTAACACTTTGTTAATTCTCACTGTTCATATCACTTTCAGGTATCTGTAGAGGTTGTCTATCTTAGCACAAACAAGCAGTTACGCACCAGACAGCGGAACAATTACCATCTAGTGATGTGCTCTCTAAGGAACAAGAAGAGCATCAGTGTACAATCAGTGATTTCACATCGCCGGCTTGTGTACCATCTCTCCAACCCACCGACACAGCGTGCACTTTAGTTCATGAGGTAAAGAGAGTGAACTAAGAATGGACCTTGACATATTGCATCTCATTTTTCACAGATAAATTGTAAGCACTCTTCTTTGAGTACATCAATTTGTATTTCAACCCTATATGTAGCACGCATCTCACTGTTTTTATTTTCTCATGATTATTTCTAGCATACATCTGAGTCCTCATCAACTGATGGAGATATTACACAGGATGTAGGTGCACTCTTCTTGGGCTCCAACCCCCTGACCAAAGAATGTGGAGCTGCAATCCCTGAACACTTTCCTTACTCGGGGTGGAATGTCTGCTGTTGATGGGCAGCTTCATCTGTCATTAGACGAAGCATCTGATAGCACCATCCATTATTATAGAAGGAAGGCAAAGGAAGCCTTTGGTTTAGTTCTTCATTGTTTAGCAACACGTCAAGAAGATGGGCTCATGAAGATTACAATCGGTGAAACAACTGCTGAATCATCACAAAGTGGTCACAATTTTGATAGTAGTGCCCGTTTTCATTTTTTTTTATTGCATCCTTTTTTACCAACATTTTTGCATTAGTGGTTCCATGTTCTCTTCCTTTACGTATTTTGTGTTTAAACAAAGGGTTATCATGGTTTGTTATTGGAAGACAGTGACTGTTCTTGTTTTTTAATGTTAATTTAAGAAGGAAAACAAATTTCTTGATTTATATTCAATTGTTTTTTCGAGTTTGATCGTTAGGTTGTTCCATGTGTCATTCTATTTTGATACTGTGTTGGTTCAGTTTTCTTCTTTCAACTTCCTTTTAAGTTTAAAGTTCAATTTAGTTTTGTACAGTTGACTCTCGTTATAGCAAGGTCGGTGAGACTGCCCAAACTACCTCTTTAAACAGAAATGTTGCTTTAAAAGGACAGCGAAACAAAAAGACACAAAGAGAACTAGAGATTCGAGACCTCAGAATTTGCTCTTTATAAGCAGCAGTAGGACATCTTTGTAAAAATGTTCTTTATAACAAAAGTAGACTGTAGTACTACCATTTTACTTATTTGGTGGGGTGGATAACAGGTTTAAGGTTTGGATAAAAGTTAATTTGGATCCTTTTTGATTATTGGTTTTTTGAAAGGTTTTCTTCAAATTTTGGTTGGTAAAATAAATCATTTTTTTTGGTCTTTCTAAAAATTTGTTTGTCATTGTTTCTATTTATTCAAATTCCTCTCTACTTGTTCCTACCCCATCTAGGTCTATCTCATTTTTGACAACGAGTACCCCAACATTTAGCGTTTTTCTCATTCAATTTATTATTTTCCAAGTTTATTAATTTTCCGGGTTACATTAACATGCCAAAAAATAACAGAATTGTCATCCAAGCCTCATCATTCCCACATTTGGTGCATGATATGTGGCAGGGTGTAACCCCTCCCCCCACCCCCATTGTGTCTTCATTGTGTTCTGGTAATCTCAGGAATTCTGTTAACAAAAAGACAAGTGTGTGTTGAGTTAGGAACATTTGTGGGGCCTCCCTCTGCCACAAACCGGGCAGGGTATACAGTCCATCCTGGACTCTGAAAGGTGGCGGCCATATTGATTTAAAGTGAACCCCCTACCCTAAAAATGGGATAAGTTAAGGAATTATAGCACCCCTTATGGCGTCTCCAGTATTAAAATAGGTTTTAATTTTATTGATCATGAAAAAATATACACGTTTGCCAATTTTCATAACATTCAAGCAAAAAGACAAAAATTATGTGAAAAATACACTTTTTGAACAAAAAGGTGCCAAAAAAAAGCCCTCTGTTTAAGATTTTTAAAAACATTTTTGACGTCATTATTTACAAATTGGAAATCTAAAACTTGGTAGCAAATTTCATGAAAATTGGTTGTCGACTTTTGAAAATACAGAAAGGGGGGGGGGGGCACTGTATGCCCCTCCCCCGTCCCTTTACTAGCGAAAAATAGGGGTAAAACAGACTCCTGCCATTTTATACTAAAAACTGCTGACAATGTTTTTATTGTTGATACTTAAAGACCATGATAAGAACTCTCTTTCACCTGAGTGTCATTGTTCAAAGACCTGCACTAATGACGCTACGGCGACTTAAAGATCGCTATTTCTATGACTCAACTTTGGGGGTACCCTTAGTGCCGTTGCCTCCTAAGAGCAATTTTTTTCTAAATTTTGAGTACCTGGTTTTAGGTCAGGATACAACCTCAGTACCCTGCAAATTTCATTTCTCTGCAGCTTTCCCCTGTTGAGCAGCAAGCGTTTAAACGTTTGTACCCCAAAATCATAAAAATCACCATTTTTCACTAATAAAAACACATTTTTGGCACTTTTTTCTGCTTCGGAGGTCAGATTGGCAAAATATTTTGTACAACCTCAAGGCTACCTATGACCCACCTACCCCCCAAATTTTAACCGAATCCGCCGACCCCCACCTTGTCACGGTCTGCATGGATCTCTCGTGGACATACTCTTAACAAAAAAAAAGAAACATGTTTGAGGCTTGAAGCACTGATGACATTATGTACACATTTCACCAATGTCCTGGAAAAATAATTCCAGCGCAAACACTGCAAATGTCTGATTCATGTGTTCATGTTTTATGCTGTCAGTTAAAAAAACTTACATGCATATATAGGCACAGTTCCTTTTTATTTGTGGACATTACAATGTACATAGTCATGTACATGTACATGAACATACATGTACATGTTAATGCACATGTACAATGAGAAATTTTATGTTGGGCAAACATCTGTGAATAAGTAAATGTACTTTACTTTGTAAACTGTACCTTTGAGTGGAGGGTACATGTTGGGCACAATCGGTAAATCAGTGCGATATCCCAATCACGCTGCGCTATTTGGCAATCTATCGTTGACGTAGCCATCGGTCGATCACGCAGTCCTTGGGTGATCGTGCAGCCATCGATCGATTGCACCAGGAAATGGTTTCACCATCGACAATCTTTCGATGGTGCAAACATTTTCTTTCGCAACTGTTCGATGGCTGCGCGAACGATAGATCGCGCAATTAGTGCAACGCGTACAGTTAAGATATCGCCAATATTGACCAATCACGCCCAACATATATGCCTTACTGAAGTTTTCTGCAGTCCCTGCTTGCTTTGGTTGCAGTCACACATTAAAATTAAAATCCAGATGTTTTTACCTGAATCTCTATTGAAGCAATATTTAGACGTTCCGACTGGTCATGCTCATTCACCAGAGAATCCGAAGTATGCTACTCCCCCATCTATCAATCCATGAGTTCTCCTATAGAAAATAGACAAAGAAGTAATGCCAATGAAGTTCATCTTTAATGTTCATTTGACTTTTGTTGGTGTTAATATCATCAGTACACTACAGTGTGAATATATGCCTGAAAAGTTGTATTTTTATCTTTTTAAGGATGCAAATACTAAAATAAGAACCATCGTCCCCACCCCATACACCCCAAACCCTACCTAATATATAAATAAGTTCAAGTACACATGTACACGTAAGCCCCATGTTGCTATTACCCTATGCACGGCCCTTGCATTACTAAATAGCCGTAAGTCCGCACGCACAGGCACAGGCCCACCATGCACACAGTCGTTTTGCGGGTCATTTTTTCCCACCAAAAACATTCCGCAAAGACTTACTTTTTAGATTTCCTGGTTGAAGACATCTTGCCTGTTTGTCTGTGCTGTCCATCTTGATCGTCAAAAATTGGGGTCATAATGTCAGGATACAGTGAAAATCACGATTTTTTTCAACCGCTTGCAAATGCAACACATCACTGAAGTCGGCCATTTTCGAGATGTATATGTTCGAATAAAACCCAAACAATTGTTCGTTGGAAAATGCGGTCATATGTTTATTTAAATAAATTTACATTACACGTTGCACTCGTACACAATTCACAAACACCGATGGCGGACTACGTGTTCTCAACACGCGTAATGTATCCGGCGGGTGTTGTAGCAAAATTGACCACTTGCAATTTGATTATAAAAATGTAGACTGGAGAGGCAGTTGAGGATGTATTATAAAACCAACTAAATTATATGGATAAGTTACGTTGATGTCTTTTTTTATTTATGAGTTATGGAATAAAGTGTGCATGGTGAAAAAAGAACGTATTTTATGCAAGTCAAATTTTTTGGGCACACCAAGCACAGTCCCAGAATGAAATGCGGGAACACTTTTTACGGGAATTGCCCGTAAATCGTCTCTTCACAGCACTGGTTGAACGAAACACGGTGCAAAACCGTAAAGAAAACGGGGAAGGCAAAGTAAATGTACGGGATTTTTTTTTACAGTGTGCAGAAATGGCTGTACCCTAGTATTGATGAAACCAAATTGCGAAGGGTCAAATTCCATATTTGCACACGATTCCAGAAAACCCAACTCAAAACTTTAGAAAAGGTATTAAAACAATGATGGGCCGATAGTTCTTCGGTTGAAAATGATCAACATTTTGTTTATTGAGTATGGGTACAAGACTACCCTCATGAAAACTGGTGGGAACTGTGTTGTTTGTTAGAAGACAGGATGGCAAGGATTTAGTAGTAGTGATATCTGTTTATTGGTTATCACACAAACTGGGTACAACTGTGAACATTGGCAGCCATGTTGGAGCCCTCTTAATATCAATAGAGGGCGCTATCACAGTGGATTGGTCATGCAGTATGTAATATCAACACATCTCCCCCTTTTAAAGTTTAAATTCTAAATGTCTATGAGATGATCATGTTTATGAATTCTGGTAAAGAAACGGTCTTTTGTAAATGCTTCTGTGCCCTTTTTAATAAAAGCAGATTCAGATCTCGTACGTATTTGTTGTTCTTAGTTTCCATAAACTGTGGGGAAACTGACATTAGATTCTTCAATTCTAAACAATGTTTGTAATAACTTGAATAACACTGGATTAGTTTTAAACTCTTTAACTGATAGCTAAACTTCTTTTCTAAACTATTAGCATGTAACTTCATGCAAAGGTCCAGTTCTTCAGTCTTTTGCAGGTGAACTATTTGGCACATTTCACAAGTTCAGTTTGTCTGGTGGCTTAACAACACGGCCATCTCGAGTCATTATTAGGAGTTCCATATTGCTTTGAGCTGGAGTAAGCAAACTGGCTGTAGTTGTGCTCTCACTGGGTGTGCTGAATGCTTCAGGCATTGAGGTTCTGGTCGATGGGGCCTGTTCTACTAATGGTGTATCCAATGGAGAATGACTAGATTCTTGCCCCTGTTG